GCCAAGTTGAACACTGTGAGGATCATTCTTTTCACTAGTTGCGAATAAATTGTGACCACTCCATCAGCTAAATGCTAAGAATGCATTCTTACATGGAAACATTTATGGCCATGACTCCTGGTTTTCAGATTAAGAGGGAGACAGGAAAGGTTTGCAAGTTAAAGAAGACGAGACTTGAATTGTCTCTTAGAATATGGTCTAAAAAATTCAGTGAGGCCCTATTGAAATTTGGGTTCAAAAGGAGTCAAGTTGATCATAAAGTCTTTGTGAATAAGGGCATCTACTGAAATTACAGCCCTTATTGCGTATGTTGATGATATTGTTGCGACAGGGGATAATGTGAAGGGCATTGAGGATCTTAAATCTTATTTAAGCAAGGTGTTTATTATCAATGATTTAGGACCCCTAAGTATTTTTTGGGAAACGAAATGGCAAGATCAAAGAAAGGGATAGTCATCTCCCAAAGAAAATATGCGTCGGACTTGTTACAACAAACATGGATGTTGGGATCTAGACCTACAGATACTCTTATAAACTTCATGGAGAAAGGGGAGAGCTACTCAAAGATCCTAATCAATATCAACGAATAGTGGGTAAGATTATATATCTTACAATCACTCAACCAGACATTTCTTATGCGGTTAGTGTGGTCAGCCAATTCATACATGCACCACGTAAACCTTACCTCGATGTTGAGTACATAACAGTATTTCAAAAAGCGCTAGGCGGCAGCGGCGGCCATGGGGGTCTAGGCCGCCTAGCACCTAGGCGGGTGCCCAGAACCTAGGCGGTCCAATTGAAAAAAAAAACTGATGACTGATAATGATTAATCCATAAGAATTTTGATACTCCATAAGACCATAATCCTAGTTAAGAAAAAGAAGATAGAAGTCCATAAGAGAATTTTGATTATCCATAAGACTATAATCCATATTTTCATATAATGAACAATAAAACCATACAAGCATACACTAATAGTCTGATACATTGTAGACTGTACACAAAAGTTAAATAGTAAAACTAGAAACTAGAAACTAGAAAGTAGAAAATAAAAATAAAAAAAATAAAATATACAGAAATTCAAAAAATATACAGTCTAGGACACAATAGTCAACAGTCAACACCAACAGTCTTCAGCCATCATCGTCATTAGAAGGAATAGGGTAAGCTTCATCATATCTATCAAATCCGAGGCCATCATCATGAGTGTCATCTTCCTCTTCAATATAATGCTCGTCCTCCTCTGTTTCTTCTGAATCTGCCTCTTCCTCCTCTTCTTCTACCTCTCTCTAACTAGTATGTGCAGATGAGACCCTGGAAGTCTACACTGCTCTACCCTTTTCTATCTTTTTGTGCTTCCTAGAACTCAAATATTATATAATTTTTTCCCTGGTAGCCTCAAGAACATTTTTACATGGGGCAACATCCCCCTTAATACCAAAAAGGTGTTTTTTAAACCGGTAAATGCCCCCATTAGTATCATTTCCACAATAATTACATTTAATACGATTTTTGTCATTTGGATTAGGGTTATAACCATATTTCCAACCCGGATCACCACTTCTAGAAGAACCTGGAGAAGATATTTCTTTATAAAAATGCTCATTTTTATCATTTTCTAGTTCTTTTAAATTCAGAAGTTGTCTAATCTTATCCCGAATAACTTCAAGAACTTTTTTACAAAAAGCAACATTCCCTTTAATACCAGCAAGGTGTTTCTCGAATCGGTTAATACCCTCATTGGTATCTTTTTCACAAAATTTATACCTTATACAATTTTTATCGTTTGGTTTTGGGTTATAACCATACTTCCAACCCAGATCACTTCTTCCAGAAGTAGCAGAAATAGATCTATTCAAATGACAAGGATTTTGTTCTTGTTTTTGTTTTACAGAACTCATATATTACTTAATCTCCTCTCTGATAGCTTCAAGAACATTTTTACAAAGGGCAACATCCCCTTTAATACCGGCAAGATGTTTCTTAAACTGGTTTATGCCTTCTTTTGTATATTTTTTGCAAAAATTGCATCTAATGCAATTTTTGTCATTTGGATTCGGGTTATATCCATATTTCCAACCCGGATCTCCACTTCGACTAGATCCTGAAGAGGACATCTCAAAATAAAACAAACAATCTAGAAAATAAAGTTTTGCACTTACTTTGACTGCTCGAACTCCAAACTCCCACCTCTGAGATGTTTTCTAGTGCTAAAATAATAAAAAATACCCTCTAATAGGATTATAAAACTCCAAAACTAAATCAAATCTACCTAGGTGATGTTTTGATCCATTTTCTGTAACTTTGAGAAATACTGCGATCCAATGAAAATCACAAACTTCAGTTTTCTTGAGGTTTCTTGCTCTCTAAAATGGATTCTTGTGGGTTTGGGTTTCAAATGAACCTAAAACTCATCCTTAAAATGCTTTATGTTTCAAAAAAAAATCAATACAACGAAAAAAAAAAAAATTCTGCCGCTTGGCGGGGCGCAAGCCGCCCAGGGACTGCCGTCCAGTTTGACCGCTTACGCTTGAGCAATGCGCCCAGGCCTTTTGGGCCGCCTAGGCGCTGGGCGGTTCACGTTTTTGAACAATGGTACAAAATATTAAGATATCTCAAGTCTGCATAAGCAAAAGGGATATTTTTCTCAAATCAAAGACATCCCAATGTTTACACAAATGCTGATTAGGCTAGTTTTCAAACTGATAGAAGATCACAATTGGCTGTTATAACTTTGTTTTGGGAAACCTGGTTCCTTGTAAAAGCAAAAAATAAAATGTGGTGGCAAGATCAAGTGCTAAAGCCTAATACAGAGCAATGGCTCATGGTACATGCAAAGTAATGTCAATCATAACTGTTCTTTTTGATTTGGGTGTTAGGGTTAAGTTTCCCATGAATCTATATTGTAACAATGAAGCAGCCATTCATATCACCAAAAAACTTATTTTTTATGAAATGACTAAACACATTGAAGTAGATTGTCACTTTATCAGAGAGAAGTTTACTGCCAAGATCATTTAGACTCCTCACGTGAAGTCTAAATATCAACTTGCAAATAGCTTCACCAAAGTTGTTGGACGAGACAGATTACATGATATCACAAGCAAGCTAAGCATGATTGATATCTATGCACTGGCTTGAGGGGGAGTGTTGGAAATAAAAGGAATAACCTTTATTGTATATGATGAACATAACTATCATTTATCTTTTGTTTAGTCCTTATTTGTTTTATGTCTCTAAATAAAAGCAATATTGTCCATCAGTTGTAATTAGGTTTATTATTTAATATTATAAGAGGGGTAGAGATCACATGTGACCCCTAAGCCACTCACTTTCTTTCTCTATTTCTCTCTCTCCCTTCTTATTCATCATCTTTATTTTCTTTCCTCTCTTTCCCTCTCTATATCCTACCAAACTGGTTTCTTCTCTACTTTAATTTCACCTTCCCCAACCTTATGTAGAACTATGAGATGCACAACAGGAAACAAAACTTCACCCCAGATCCCAGCAAAATGGCTTGGTCTGCACTTAACTAATACTCAATGGCTCCGCAACATTTTTGCTAAATGACCCCACAAACCAATCCCGGATAGCCTTAGATCCTCAGCTTTCACTAAGCATGACAAGTGGAAATTGTTGGAAATTACGTCTCGAGTCCATTTTGTTATGTATAACCAATTGAACACGCCACAATAAAACTTGAAGTAGGGTATAAAGGGCTGCTTCTCCACTGAAATTGGACACATGTCCATACTCCAACAAGTAAAAAGTATTTCAAAATGTTTTCTCAGTCCTGGTGTCCTGGTCTATTTGGAATCACAAGTATGATGCTTAACAAATGAAGCAGTTTGGCGTCCCTTGTACCCAAGGTTTGACGGAAGGTCTCAACCCTTGAAGGTTGGTCCCCCAAAATAAACAATGATGACCTACTGATGTTACTTCAGCCTGCCAGTGCCAACAAAGATGTGTAGAATCAAGGAATTTCTGGGGTTCTCATGTGAAAAAATAGAAAAGAACTCATTTCTTTCAACAAAAAAATTCGATGGCCGCTCCCTTTAAACACCTCACTTTTCAACAATTTTACTCTTTTTGTACTATTCGATGGGCATTTTAAAATTAAATCAAAACATATGGGTATAATGTTAAATAGTCAATATCTTAGGTGTATTTTGACAAATTTCCCACAATAGAATGTGAAGGTCAGGAAAGGCAAACAACTATTCTTCTATAATAAACTTTGAGATTTTGATTGCCCCTAACTTCATATGTGTGGGAGAAATTTCTAGATGTATTTGAGTAAACTCATCCTAATTGCACTAAGGTTTCCTCACCATTGTGGCAAAAAGGATAGTCGCAAGATTATTTCTTGAGAACAGAGATCTAAACCATGAACATACCGACCCTGGAGACTAATTCCATTAATTCATAGAAATCAAATTAAAAAAATATCAGTATTGCTACCCTCATGATCTCTTTCCACCAAAAAACAATGCCCAAGGCCGAGAAAGTCTATTTAGACTATTACATGCATCATTGATGCTGAAGCATAGAAAATTCTCATTTCACCAGAGTTTGGTTTTATGGAAGGTTTCATTTATACAAAGTTACACATCAAATATCACATGCTCACAGCACTTGTGCCCTCATCAACAAAACTTAAATTTCATAGTACTCTTTGATCTATTTCACAAAAGAAAACAAATAGTGAAAATATAAGAAAACTTGAACTTGTGTGAACAAAATACTTGATAAGAATCAAGCTTACCAAGAACTAAATCTTACCTCAGAAAGCATATTGAACAGTAAATGCCATAGGATGGTTCATTTTGATTCTTTGAACATGAGAGTCAAATGTGACATATAAAATGATTTTGGATGCAGACACCGTTATACGAAATGAGCTTCTAAGGATGTATACAAATACATTGCAGAATTATGATTCATGGAACCATTCACAATTACATTTAGAACTCCATTAATTATAGAGAATGTAAGCAGACCTGATCCAGAAGCCATACAGCAATGCTCGCAAACTCCATAATACCTATGTATCTATCAATCCAACTAGCATCATCGGGTGCATTGACATCCCGCACCGGTGCACTCAAAACTTTGTGTTTGGACAAAATTAGGACAGCCTCAGCAAGACCAGCATCTGAGTTTATCTCAACCACTGGACAAAATGTGTTGAAAGAAAGAACATAAATGTCATCTTTCCATTTGTCTAGACCATTGGACATGTAAGGTTTTTCGCAGCTAGGACACGAATTTACGACATGACAAACAAATAATCATGATGTCTCATATTGATAGACCTAATCGATTCCAATCATAAATGTACTAAAAACATTTGAAAGTAGTTTAACAAAGAACAAAGCAAAAGCACATCATTACCAGCTCAAAATTACCTCACCTAAATATACATCTTTGGGAATGCACTAAATATGGACCTCGTAGCATTCAGTAATAAGTGGGAAAAAGTCCTCTCATTTTTATTTGAAAATAAACAATACATGTGATGTGCCAAGTTTGAGTAAGATGCAACAACGAAAGGGGTTTAAGCTCATAAATATATGACTATACTTCTTTTTGGTTGGATATATTTCACTGATCAATATATACATGTATATGCCCTGCACAAAACTGAACAAAATGCAGTAAAATTTTCTCCAAAAAAAGAAAAATGAAAAAAAAAGAACTCTATGTGAGAATTCACTAGTTTATATGCTGCTAAGTATCTAAAAAACTCATTGCCAAGGAAGATTTTGGTACTCTCTTTAGCAAGAGCGTCAGCTACCTCTGCCTGCTTCCATGAGCAGAGTAAGGGGACCTCTAAGTTATGGGTTAGTTAAAAAATTTTGGTAAGCCAATGGTGCAGCTTCCATCGCCTCTTCTTTCTTTTGATATGCCCAAGTAACGACTGAAAAGAATCCCTTCAATAATGATTTTTTACATTTAGACTCTAGAAACCTGAGATCTACAAGAAGGGATCTTGTTGTTTAAATCACATCTAGGAAGGGAAGCCTATGTAGGACATAATCAACCTAACTGGTGATCTCTCAACACCCCACCAAGTCCAGCAGGACCAAGGTTTCGTTATATTCTTCCATCAAACTTCTGCATAATGGTGCCCTCAGGAGGGGGTGCCCACCTATGAAATCACTTACATCTTGGTAATGCTCCCCTTGCTATAGCCTGCCGTTGGGTCTTAAAATCTGACACTGAACTCAATCCTAATATGCCCATGTATATGATTGTGACCATGACCTTATGTTGCAACCTTTCCAAATTGAGATTTAAGAGCCTTGTTATTTAAGGATCTATCATTCCTTTCAATCCATGCCAGGCACAGAATTGCCAATATTTCCAATCTCCATAACATTTTTAGTTTGGGGGAGGGGAGCTATTCAGAGAATGGCACCTCCACCAATGCTGGTATAATCCGATCCAACCCAAAAAGACCCAATACAAAATCCCAACGTCCGCTCATTGTTGCACATTGGAAAAGATGTCTTAGAGATTTGTGCTTCAACTTGAACATGGCAAACCTATTTGGAATAGGCATCCCATATATATCAATTTTTGACTAATTGTGAGCACTTTGTCAAGACATGCCAGTCCTGAGTTTTTGATGGTCCAGGAGTGGAACATATCTTTTGAGACACATGATTATCTTCAGCATACCTTGTAAGTATTCTACAGAAAGACCTCACTGATTATTCTCCACCACTCTCAAGGGTCCATATATTCCCGAAGTAGATTAAGGAGCATACTTGTCTTTCACTTTAAATGCCCTTCTCAATGTTGGACTACATATTGCTTGATGGACCATTCCTTGTACCATCTGTTTGACAGTTGCAATCTGATTAGAGGCCAAAAAGATAAGATTGTAGATATCTCTCCTTTAGTGTTCCATCACCCAACCACTTATCCTTCCAAAACCACACCCAACTGCTATTCCCAAATTGGAATCTAATATGTTGTAAAGATCTCTGGGGCATTAATTTGACCGTTTCCCTGCACCTGATGCCCTGGTTCTCCCTCATATGGCCTTACGCAGCCATCCATTGCATACTTCTTGAGGAAAACATGTTCCCAAAGTTTTATCTGATTCATCTACCTGCTGCCGACACCACCACTTCCCTAGGAGAGCTATATTGGTGTCCTGAATCCTTCGCATACTAATTCCCCCCATTCGTTTTTCAGCTTGCATAGCCTGTCCAGTAAACTAAATGGAAATTGTTCTTAACCGAAGAATCGTTCCAGAGGCTCTCATATAAGTCTCTCTACTGTGATAATTTGGAATGCTGGCATTGGAAACAAAGACCAGCAATAGATTCGACAAGATTGACTTGATTTATTTCACCCTCCTCCCCATAGAGATAAAACTTGACTTGAATAAATCAAAATTCCTTGAAATCTTTAATTCCATCCGCATCCTTCTCCTAGGCTTTCCTATATACAAAGGTAACCCTAGGTACTTGGCAATTTCTCAGTACCACATCCAAAATGGGCTGCAAGTTCTTCTAGCTTCTGCTCATGAATTGCAACCTCCAACTTTGTCTTCAACACATTAACATGTAAACCTAAAGGCATAGAACATCTCACAAACAACCAAAGATATTGCATAATTTTCATTTGCCCTATCATTGCTCAACAAAAGATGCCCTATCACTGTTCAACAAAAGATAAGCCTTGAACCCAGACAAGAGACCTGTTTCATACACTTCCCTAATCATACAGCTGAAGACTTCACCCACTATAGCTAACAAGGCCAGAGACAAAGGATATCCTTGTTGAAGTTTCTTTGAACTTCAGAATAAACATTTCAAAACTCCGTTGACCAGGACAATAAATATCCAGACATCCAATGCCTCCACTTGAAGCCAAACCCCAAAAGTCTCATAATGTGGTGTAGGAATGCCTTGTCTACATGAACATAAGCTCTCTATAGGTCCAACTTGTGGGGAATTGTCCCCCTCTCATGTGTAGATTCGAGCATATAAATCCATGTGCCTTGTGCACATTTGTGGGCCTATTGGCCACTTAGGCCCCACATGCGCCCATAGATCACATGTGCCGTCCTCATCTGAAATTTTCATGAACAATTCTATTTTTCCATAATAATGATATAATAAAATTTTTAAAAATTCACAAAATACCAAAAATTATTTTAAATATTTTTATAGAAACAAATTAATTTGCGAAATTCCTAAAATCTTATGGGCAGAAATTAGGTACCTTTAGATTTGATGGTGCATAATACCAAGGCCCTCCAATTTGGCTCATTTCAGCATCCCCAACCATTTTCTCAAACAACCCTAAAGATCCATGACCCACTATCTCATGCAGGGGGTCATACTTGGCCGATCAAAGTCTATCAATTGATGGCAAAATTATAGGATTTAAGTGGATTACAGGTGCACCCCCATAGACAAGTCACATATGCACTATTATGTGAGTTCACTAGTTCCTCTCTCAAGCACATATGCATGCTCCCTATCCTACGCTTGCCATATTCCTGTTGTCATATGCACATGTTGTGCATTGGCTGGTATCGAGGATTAGGCCCTTGTCCTAGCCAAGCCCGCCCACACAAGGCCATATCAGCACATAACACAAACCATAATTACATCAAATCATCAATCACATAATGCCCCCGCTAAATCACGTCCATTGGGCTACTGCTGACCTCGACTGAGGGCTAACCTCTAATCCTCACGCCTAACATGGCTATTAGTTCAATCATCTGTCAATAAACTTTGATGGGCCAAGCATGAGTTCCCTGCTTGAGACAGTGGTCATCGGTCCGTTGGGTTTGTTTGAGAAAATGGTTGGGAATTCTGGGATGAGCCAAAGTAGAATACCTTAATATTATGCACTATCAAATCCAAAGGTACCTATTTTGCCTTCATAAGATTTTATTAATTGCCGAATTAATTTTTTTTGTTTTTTTTGTTTTTATAAGGAGGGAGAATACACAGAAGAGGGGGGGGGGAGGATGGGACCGGGAGTACCCACGAGACGGGTCTCTCGGTCAAAAAATTTGATCCAGTGGCCTTATACAAAAATTGACCTTTGAACCTTCCTGATTACAGAATATGTACTTGTGTATAACAAAAAATGGGGCTTATAGGAGTGCCCGATTACAAGATGAGTAGGAGTGACTAATTACACTCCTAGGCGCCCTCTGTGGTCTAGAGCAAAAAAGGAGATGGACCAGGTGGGGTCTTCAGGACGGGCCCTTGCTCCGTCTTTTGCGAGAAGATCGGCGAACTCGTTCGGCTTCTGCCAAGTATGCTTCCAAGAGACGTTCATATCCTTGCATATGAAATCAATTTCATCAAAAATAGTGGAGAGGTACCAAGGAGGTGTTGTAGTGCCTGCAGCCCAGGAAATGACATTTTTGGAGTCTCCTTCCACCACCAAGATTGGGCCCCATGAAGGGTTAAAATTTTGAGACCCATAAGAAGAGCCATGGCTTCTGCATACTGGGAGTACTCCTGTCGCAAGTATTCTGAGTAGGTAAAAAGGATATTGTCTCCAGCTCTAGCCAGTCCCGGGTTACCCAACGAACAACCGTCGAAGTTGAGCTTTATGGCACCTTCTAGAGGAGGCTGCCAGTTGTGAGGTCTTTGGGTCTTATGTGGCTGGAGGTAAAGAATATTCTCCCATTGGCAGAGAAACGTATTTGCGGGGATCCCCGCAAAAGCCCCGTGATTAGAGGCCCAAAAAGTTACTAGGGTTGTAACCTTATGGAAAAGCACTGGAACTTCATTTTTGTACCCTTGGAAGAGCCTCTCGTTCCTTTCTAACCAAATTACCTAGATAGTTGCAGCAATGGCAGATTTCCACAAAGTTCTACCGGCTTTCGGCCAGTGGCATACGTAGTATGAAGAGATGAGAGCCTTGACCGAGGGTGGGGTGACCCATTGAAAGTGGAACAACTGAAGCACCTTGCTCCACAGGTCATAAGCAAGACTACAGTGAATGAAAAGGTGAGGGTTCGATTCCTCCTCACTCATGCACATGGCACACCTATTGGGGAGTGGAATGCCTCTTTTTTGGATCTGGTCAATTGTGGCAGCCCTTTGACAATAGGCAATCCAATTGAACACCTGAACTTTTGATGGAGCAATGGTGTGCCAGACCTTGGAGAGGATGGAGATAGGA